AAGAAAAAGTACTGGTTGGTTTATTGCAAACTGTTTCATGTTTTCCTGTGAAGAATGTACAACAACAGCTTTGAATGGTAATAATAGCACGTGCCCCAGTCGTTTTAATTGAACTCCAAACAAGAGAGCCTCGGTACCCAGCCTGCTGACTCGGAGCAGAGCCGAGGTGGTTACAGCCTGGCGAGGAACGGCTCCTGGGGGAACCAGGATGGGTTTTCCTAGAATTTGTGTTTAAAATTGTTATCCTTTGTTTTATTTTTAAATGTTAAATAATTTTATTGTTTGCAAATGGAATGTTACCCAGAATGTTTTTGGTTTGGTTTTTGGAGAAACTGTTAGGAGATATGAGCGTGGAAAAAGGAAGTTCATTAGCAGAACTTGCCAATAAAAATGTCACTTGTTTGGGTAGTTTTTATGGAGTGGTCTGTCATGATGATATTACTGATAAAAGTTCTCTTGGAAAATACAGGCTTTTTGGATGATACTGATGTAACAGCTCATTTTCCTTTTTAATGTATTGCTGTAGACACACACAATGCTGGTTGCAAAGCATACAAAGACTTGTGTGACTGAGGGCACTAGTATGAGACATACCTCCAACAATTAACATTTTTAATAGCAGGGTGCACTTGGGGAGGGGGAGGACAGGGACAGTGTCCCATTAGGAGCAATTTAAGTGGCATCGTTCATCAGATTCATCCTCCACTTGAGAGTATTTATGGCAAACATATAGGTAACTCGCATAGTAGTTTCTGTCCCTGGAAGAATCCTTTACAGCAACTTGGTTCAGCAAAAACGCATGAATTTTAGTATTAAATTTTGTCTTGCACTGATCACAGGTGTTGCCATAGCCAGACCACTTACCTGAAATATGCTGAGGAGGTGTTTAGTGCTTGTCTGCTTTAATGCTCTGAACAATTGATTACGTTGGTTTGGAGGTTGGATTGTTTTAGGCAGCTACGTGATGTTTTGCACCTTTGAGAACTTAAATGCATGTCTTTAAAGGAAGGAGTAGGGTCCAGAACCACCCTCGTACAAATAACATGTGCATTTAGGATCGGTGACCTGTGTAGCAGGTTGCTTACTGGGTGCTGCTCCCCAGCTCACCAGTTCGCAGTAATCTGCTCCTTCAGACCGAAAGCCTCCTAGCTGCCAGTAGGTTTTAGTAACTGCAGAAGGAGACACGGAGCAGGCTGCGCCTTGGACGTTCTGAGCCAAGCCCTGAGGGAACAGCAGGTGGCTAAGCCCGGGACCGCCCCTGGAGGAACATGGCTGCGGGTGGCGGAGATGGCGGGGACGGGGACGGACGGACAGACAGCACGCAGTTGGCGCAGGCGCCGCGCCGTCCAATCAGGCGTTGGAGCGCTTTCCGTCGCAGCCAATGGGCTGGAGGCGCGGGCGGGGAGCGGCGGCTGGTGGCCGTTGAGCGCGTGCTCCGCGGTGCTGTTGTCGCTCGGGCGGGGCTGAGGTGTTGGAAAGTGTCTGTGGGCTCGGCTTGGTATGGAGGTGTTACGGGGTAGGGGTGGGGGACTTCGTCCGGGCAGCGGGAGGGTTGCTTGGCCTTCCTGAGGGAGGAGTGTGTGCTGGGAG